GCCGCGGGATCAGGGCCCTTCTCGCCCGCTCCAGAACCCCGCGGATCCACAGAACACCCCCACACCCCCCTGGGGATCCACAGATCTCTCACAGAGCCACGGAGCCCCCTAAATCCCCCTGCAGATCCACAGAAACCGCCTGGGGGTTTACAGAACCCATCCAACGCCCCTTCCCACCCAGACCCCAAACTCTTGTGGCGATCCACAGGACCTCCCAAACCCTCTGTGGATCCACAGAATTGCCCCGCGCATCTATGGAACACCCCGAAACCCCAGTGGGGATCCACAGAACATCTTACAGAACCACGGAACCCCCAGAAGGACTCCTAGAACCCCCCGAATCCCCCTGTGGAACCACAGAAACCCCCGCGCGGATCCGAGGAGCCCCCGGGCCCCCTGTGAGCACATGGAACCCCGAAGGCCCCCATGGACCCTCAGAAACCCCCAACCACGCTGCAGGTGCGCGGAACCTCCCAGACCCCCCGGAACCCCATCCGCCCGCTCCCCCCGGTGACAGCGTCACCCCCGCTCCCGCCGGGGTCACACGAACGGGGCACCGGGGAGAACAAACCATCAGGCCTCCCCATCAGGCCCAGCCCTTCCCTCTGGAAGCGCGTTGGGATCTCTCCGGGATCCCGAGGGAGGCGCGGGACCGTTGACAGAGGCCGCTCGGGGCCCTCGCTTGACACTCCCCCCCCGGTGACCGCCACAAACCGCGGTAACGGCGGACACGGGGCCGCTCTGACAGCGCCAGAGGGACACCGGATTTGAGGGACCCGACCACCTCCCTCCCCACGGGCTGGGCCCCGGGGCAGCGCCGGGCCCGGCCCAAGGTCACGGAGCACGGCCTGAGCTGACAGCGGCCACCACGGCCGTGCTGTCCCGGCCCTCCCTGAGCCCCCCGCGGCCCCAGGAGCCCCCCACCCTCACCATGGTGCCGCCGCCGCCGTCCGAGTCCCGGAACCGCCGCTGCGCCCGACCCGCCTCGGGAGCCGCCAGACAATGACCCGCCCGGGCGGGGGCGGCGGGCCGCGCCGCGCCCGGGCCAATCAGCGCCTCCCATACTAGTTTGAACATGTGGCCGCCACCAATAGAAGCGAGGCTTCTTTGCTCTGTCCCCCGCTGGCCCCGCCCCGTGGCTCGTTTAACGGCTGTGTTGCCTTTTGCACACGGCACGCAGGCGGGGTGAGGGGCGGGGCGGGGCGTGCGCGCGCCGGTGATGTCACCTCCCGGCCAATGGAAACGGCGGGCGCTGCGATGGGAGGCGGGGTCAAGGTGACGGACAGCTGCGGAAGCCAATGGAAGGAAGGCAGGGGTTTCCCGCCCATTCCGCGGCCCCGCCCCCGACTGTGTTTGTGTGAGGGGAGCGGGGGGGCGGGCGCGGGTGTCGCTGAGAGAAGAAGGAGGAGGGGGGGCCATTGGTTCCCCCGGTACCGGTGGGGCCAGGACGGTCTCACCTACAGACAGTCCCTCCAAGCTGGGGGCTCCGCTCCCGACAGGGCCCGGCCCTGCCCGAGGCCAGGGGAGCCCCCGGCGGGAGGGGAGGCCGCCCAGGGACACCGCGGCCCGGCGGTGCCTCTCACCCTCCTCTGTGTTTTCCACATCCAGCCCGGTGCTGCCCCATAGGGTGAGGGAGAAGGGCAGCGGCAGGGAAGTAACGGGGACCCCGAGAGGCCGAAGGGGCGGTCAGTGCTGTGAGCAGGGATCAAAATGTGATCAAAACCCCCGGACCGCCCTGTAGCTGCGGGTTTTAAAAACAAACGTGTCACGGGAAATAAATTTCTCACACCCGAGCCCGTTTCGGCGTCAAAAGGAACCTGACGGTGTGACGAGGTGGGTTTATAAATAGAACGAGGGATTCCCGAGCCAGGGTCCGGCCGGGCCGGGCGCCCGCCCCCCCCCCCGCACGGGCCCTGTCCCCCGGGTGCCTCGGTTCGCCCCCAGCTCCGGCAGAGGTGGGGGGCACCGTGCGCCCCCCGCTGCAGCTGCCGGGGGGGCTCAAGAGGGCCCCCAGCCCCCCCGCCCTGCCCCCGGCTGCTCCAAGACCGGAGCAGGAGGAGGAGCAGGAGAAGGAAGGCACCTGTCGCTGTCACTGTCCCCCCCGGGGCGCCTGGTTCAGGCTCCCTCCGGCACCGGGCAGGGCTCAGGGGGCCCCACGCAGCCCCCACCCCTCGCTGCAGCTGCCGGGAGGGCTCAGGGCGGCCCCCAGCCCCCCATCCCTCAGCTGCTCCCGGTACCCCCGAGGGGGGCAACACCACTTGCAGCTGCCCCGGGCAGCAACTGCCGCGGCCCGGGGACCCCTAGAGCTGCCCCGGGGGCCTCTGTCGCTGTCCCAGGGCCCCCCGGCTCCACCCGGAGCAGCTGCGGGGGGGGCCTGGGATGGGGCCGGAGCAGCTGTTCCGCCCGGCTCTGGGGGGCTCGGGGCGGGGAGGGGGAGCGGGGGTCGCGCCGGGCCCCGGTGACGGTGACAGTGACGGCGGTGGCGGCTCATGCGCAGGCGGGTCCCCGCGTGTCCTCAGATGAGCCCGAGCCCGCAGGGAGCCGCAGCGCGGGGGGCGGGGGCTGCGGCACCCACGGGAGGGCACGGAGGGGACACGGGGTAGCACATACGCGCCTTACACACACGGCACGCAGCCTCGTGAGCGGCACAAGAAGCCTCACCCCCTGTGCACACACCCTGTGCCTGTGCACGTGCCTGCCCGAGCCGTGACACACGCACCCCCCACGCCTGTGCCACGCCAGACCCACCCAGCCTCACACCTGCCCACCCCACACAGCCGTGTGGGGGTACACGCACCTTACCTTACACACCCCACGCAGCCCTGTGATGGTGCACACACCTGACACACACCTGCACACGCCAAACCTCCTCCCTCCCCTCCCATGCCGGTCCCTCACACTCTCCAACTCCCCCCCAGCTTGGGGACACCCCTCAGGACAAGGTGGGAGACCCCACGTGCCCTGTCTGTGCCACCTCACACCATCCCACAACGTCCCCACAACACTCCGGGGTGACCACCCACCCCTCACCCCAACAGTGGCACCAGCTACCCCTCCCTGACCCCCCCAAGGAGCGAGCCAGGCCCAGGCTGGTTTTTCATTCACTTTTCCGCATACTTTATTTGTTACAAACATACAATTCTTTAAATATAGACTGTAAAACTCCATTTGCAAAAATCTGCTACGTCAGGAGTGCTCGGAGCAGGAGGAGTTCGTCGCGTCGGCCTCGTCTGCGCTAGTGGTAACACCCAGGACCTGCCTCCGGCCCCCAGAGCCGCCCCCCGGCCGCAGGGAAGGGACACGAGGGCCCCGACCCCCTGGCCCCCCCGGCCGCCTAAAGTGCAGGTTTGCTTTAGTTTTTGTTTTTCTTTCATTAAAAAAATAACAGGAATAAAACTTTTTTTTTTTTCTTCTTCTCTTTTCGGCAAAGGGATGTCGGGGAGAGCACTCAGGGAGGGAGGCGGCGCTCCCGGGGGATCTGCTGCTCGGACGGGGATCCAGCACTCAGGGGATCCAGTTCTCAGAGGATCCAGCTCTCCAAGGAGGATCCAGCGCTCCAAGGATCCAGTTCTCAGAGGATCAAACTCTCTGAGGAGGATCCAGCTTGAAGAGAAGGGTCTGACACCTGGAAGATCCAACTCTCGGAGGATCCAACTCTCGGAGGATCCAATGCCAGAAGGAGGATCCAACACTCAGTGGAGAGCTGGTGCTTAGAGGATCCAGCTCTTGGAGGATCCAGCCATCAGAGGATCCAGCTCTTGGAGGAGGATCGGGCACTCAGAGGATCCAACTCTTGGAGGATCCAGCCATCAGAGGATCCAACTCTTGGAGCATCTGGCTCTTGGAGGAGGATCCAGGTCCCAGAGGAGGATCTGGCTCTTGGAGGAGGATCCGGTGCTCTCCCCACCGACGTTTGTCCAACCCCCTGGCCCGTCCCTTGCCCCGGATGTGCCAGGGGAGCTGCTCATGCTGGACCCCTCTCAGCTGCTGCTCCAAGGTTGGAGCCCCCCGGAGCCACTGTTCTGGGGCCTCGACCCTGTGGGCTCTGGGCCGTCCTGCCCAGATCCAGGCTGTCCTACTGACACCCAACCCCGGCTCCGGCACCACTGGCTCGACCGGCTCCGGGAGCCGAGGAGGGCGACGGCCTCGCCCTGCGGGAACACCCGGGAGCATCCACGGAGCCGCCTGGGATTTCCCACCGGGAGGACCTGCCAAGCTCCCTGGGGCATCACCCCACGTACCCCCAGGACTCCCTCAGCTGCTTTTTTTTTAATCTTTTCCAGTTTTTTGCGATTTTTTTCCACTTTTTGCTTTTTTACAAGAGAGGCTGGCGAGGGGTTGGGGTTGGTTTGTCACCAACTTGAGGAGCCGCCGCTGGCATGGCCCCACCCATCCCCTGCCGCCCACAAATCGCCTGGAAACAAGGCAGGAGAATCCCGATTTTCTTCCATATTTTTTAGGACAAAAGGAATTGAAGCTGTTTGAACTTCCCCTGGAGGTGCTGCTGGCCCCAGGCCTGGCCGTTTAGGGCATTTCTAGAGGGTTTTGGGGCACTGGACAGGATTCCCAACTTTCTGTCTGTACAGTCATCGTCACGGTCTCCATCGGCCCTTCTGGGGCAACAAAGCTGGAAGTACCAGGAATTTGGGATATTTTTTCCCCCCCACTTGTGGTTTAAAAATAATAAAAAAAGCAATTTGCCCGTTTTCTACAGAATTCAACCCAAACCCAACCGACTCTGATCTATGTACACACGGCCATGTCTATACACACAGAGATGGGAACGGGGGCCCAGGGGAGATGCGGCACTGTCCTGCTTTCCTGGGAAACACCCACCGGCTCCTGGGGGGCTCCAAGAGAGAAAAAATCCCAAACTGCCCCAA